CAACAGATCAGGTAAAGGAAATGTTAAACACTATTTACCATTGTATTAGAACTGTAAACTGTTCAAGTAATATAAAGATTAGCTACTGTTCACCATTACTACTTACAGTGTTCTAATTTTTTTTCTTCAAACAATCAAATTTAGACATTCTATGTATATATATACACACGTTTTTTTAGGATTCCTATGTTGTGAAATATTTTGAAGCCTTGAACAAGTACCTATCAGTTGGAGCTCCTGTTTATTTTGTAGTGAAAGATGGTTACAACTATTCAGACCATCAGCAGCAGAATTTGATCTGTGCATCTTCTGGATGTAGCCAGCACTCCCTTCTCAGTCAGCTGTCTCGTGCTGCCAACTTGTCTTCTCAGTGAGTAAACATTTCCCTGCATGGCTTCTTACAGACTACAGTCTATTTTTTTGAAGCAAAAACTTTTTCAGAATTACAGATGTTCTTCCTTTCTAAGTATACATTTTCTCAGGCTGCGATCCAGTGCTCTCTGTAAGTAAAAACTTTTTCAGAATTACAAATGTTCTTCCTTTCTAAGTATACATTTTCTCAGGCTGCCAATCAGTGCTCCCTGTAAGTAAAAACGTTTTCAGAATTACAAATGTTCTTCCTTTCTAAGTATACATTTTCTCAGGCTGCCAATCAGTGCTCCCTGTAAGTAAAAACTTTCTCAGAATTACAAATGTTCTTCCTTTCTAAGTATACATTTTCTCAGGCTGCCAACCAGTGCTCCCTGTAAGTAAAAACGTTTTCAGAATTACAAATGTTCTTCCTTTCTAAGTATACATTTTCTCAGGCTGCCAACCAGTGCTCCCTGTAAGTAAAAACGTTTTCAGAATTACAAATGTTCTTCCTTTCTAAGTATACATTTTCTCAGGCTGCCAACCAGTGCTTCCAGTAAGTAAAAAGTCTCAAGGATCCATTTCATCTTCTTAGGTAAAGGGCAGGCTTCATGTGATCACTTTCTCATGCTTCCAGCTGTTTGTCCTTTTTGTATTGTATAAATCCTTATCTGTTAAAGCTTTATCCATTAGCTGGTCAAGTCTGTGATACTGTATGATAATAAGATTAATGATTATAATCATGTCCTTCTTACTGGGCCAATGAGAAAAGTTTGTATTTCAATTACGTTAATGGATTATGTTTCTACAGCTGAAGTGTTATAAATGCTGAGATTCATTGTAAATAGCATTTTATCTTAACACTGTAAGTTGTGTCCTAGCCTTCAGCAGCAGCAATAGTATAGTTGAAATACATAATTATTTATTATTAGATACCCACATTGGTGTAATTATTATTAATGTTATTGTAAGAACTGTGAAAGATGCTGTTCTTTAAAACTATGTCTTAAGAGATAAGTTACAGTTTTATCAACTGTGCTGTTTATTGATTAGAACAGGGGTTGTGAACCTATGGCACACAAGCCAAGATTGTTATACGAGGCTCTTTCCTGTGGAACACAGCCCTTACGGAAAAATAGCACAATTAAAAAAGCTCAAAACATTCCGCTGTCCACTATTCCTTTTATAAGGAAGTCACATTGGGGCATGGTACTCAAGGCCCCACAATATAGTTCTTGCACTTAGTAGTAAAATGGTTCACAGCCTTGAAAGTGAAACTTAATCTCAATTGAGAAATGTTTGATTGATTAACTGTTGATGGAATATAGTGATACAAGGTAACTGTTTTGCTACACTTAAAAATTTAGAGACTACCAATTATGGTCAAACCACAAAAGTATGATTGGCTACATTTATTTTTTTTAGAACGTACATTGCCCATTCAGCCACATCATGGATTGATGATTATTTCAGCTGGGCTGCGAATCCATCGTGCTGTCATGTCTTCCAAAATCATAGTTATTGTCCTTTAGCTGAAGGTATGCAATTTATTTTTATCAAAATATATCAGATTAATCAAGTTTGAAATGCATATTATTTTTGGTGTGCAAGTGTTTTGAATTAATTGTTACTCATTATTCAAAATATAAAACAAAAATTATTTATTTTTGTTTAGAAATGTGAAATACTAAAGAAAAACAAACAGAAAGTATGATATAAAAATGTAGGAAGTATTAAATGATTTCTAATTTTCAGAATTGTAAATGATTTTTGATATCCATAGTGAAGAAAATTTCATGTTATTTAGTTTAAACTGAATAAAAGGTATAACCTTTAACGTGACATTAATTAGCAAGGATCATAATTAAATTTAGTTAGTTAGTTGCCAGTCCAGGCCATCAAGCTCAGTATTTCAGAGATCTGCAGTATTTTTCAAAAGCCTAGACTTAGAACAGTTATTAAGGTTTTTTGTCATAGGAATTAAGTATACCATATATTATAGTGTTTTGCTTATAATGGGTAAGATCTTGCACATAGATTCAAGTTCAAATGAATTATTGAGTCAGTAACTTTTGTTGATTTTTTTTACATTGATCAGCACTGTTTTAACTCATAATTAGCTATGATAAGTCAATTAACACTTACAGATTAATTGAAGTTTACAAAAATATATATTTCTATCATTTTTGTTACAAGAAAATTTTTGATATGTTTTAATAGCTTTCTTAATTCCAAATAACAGTGGCTGCATGACTATCATGTGAACCCCAGCTGTGAAATAGTATTATAAAGAATCTTTACACGAATGTGCACATGTTCAGTGCAATGGACTTTAAACTTAAACATATTTTCTGTAGTAGTTTATTGAATAAAAAGAAATTCATAGGTTAAGCTAGAATAAAACATTACTATTCACTTGGAAATTAGGCTAGAATAAAACATTACTATTCACTAGAAGAAAATAGGCTAGAATAAAAACATTACTGTCCACTAGGAGATAATAAAGCTAGAATAAAAACATTACTGTCCACTAGGAGATAATAAAGCTAGAATAAAAACATTACTGTCCACTAGGAGATAATAAAGCTAGAATAAAAACATTACTATTCACTAGGAGATAATAAAGCTAGAATAAAAACATTACTATTCACTTGGAGATTAGACTAGAATAAAAACATTAATCTTCACTAGAATATTAAGCTGGAATAAAACATTACTATTCACTAGGAGATAATAAAGCTAGAATAAAAACATTACTGTCCACTAGGAAATTAGGCTAGAATAAAAACATTAATCTTCACTAGAATATTAAGCTGGAATAAAACAATACTATTCACTAGGAGATAATAAAGCTAGAATAAAAACATTACTGTCCACTAGGAGAATATGCTAGAATAAAAACATTACTGTCCACTAGGAGATTAGGCTAGAATAAAAACATTACTGTCCACTAGGAGAATAGGCTAGAATAAAAACATTACTGTCCACTAGGAGATTAGGCTAGAATAAAAACATTAATATTCACTAGGAGATTAAGCTGGAATAAACATTACTATTCACTAGGAGATAATAAGGCTAGAATAAAAACATCACTGTCTACTAGGGGACTAAGCTAGAATAAAGCATTACTGTTCACTAGGAGACTAAGTGATAATCAAACATTACTGTTCACTAGAAAATTAGGATAGTCTAAAAACATTGCTATAGGTTAGAGTTTAGTGTGGAATGGAAACATTACTATCCACTAGGGGGCTAGATCATAATGAAAAAGTTACTATACACTAAAAGGTTAAGTCAAAGTGGAGACATTGCTGTACACTAAGAAATAATTTAAATAAATTAATTATAAATGTTAGCACATGTGCAAGCCTTATCTAAACATATGCTGTTTGTCATTATATGACCATATTTTCTCTTTGGGAACACAAGGTAAAAAATGAATTTAAAAATATTAACTTTCATAACAGCAGATAAACGTAATTTGAACAATATTTCAAAAGTTACACCATTAGCCAACTATAAGTTAACTGTGTTCAGAATTTATGTCTTTGAATACAATGAATGTATTGTTAATAAATTTTTTGGGGTTTTTTCAGAGTTTCTATGTTTATTCTGTCTTGTAATTATTAAGAAATGTAAACACCTTGAAATCTTGGTGTTTTTCCCAAATAATCTTGAACCTATCAGCCATAAGCATGAATTTGTCAAAATGCTGTCTTTTTCTTAATTCAGCTCACCTTAAGCATTGTAATTCCTGTAACATAGTGGATCCACATGACAGGAGAGTTTTGTCTTCGGACTTTGTAACTTACCTCCCTAGCTTCCTTAGTGAAAATCCCCTGTCTGTTTGTCCCAAGGGGTAGGTATTGTATTTTATTATAGTTTTGACTTTTGAATTGTTTATTCTCCCTATTTCATGGATTATAGTTAAACTCAGGAAATTTTCTTTCAACTGTTTGTGAATCATAAACTATGTGATATCAACAATGTTTATAACATTTATTAAATTGTGGCAAACACTTGTAATGTTTTCGTGTTATTGTTTATTGGTTTGTGGCTACACACATGTAACTGTTTCTTTAAGCCCCTGGTGGCTCAGTGGTAATTCAAAGTTTATATAACACTAATAATCATGTTTTAATACCTGCTTGGGCAAACCACAAAAAGTCTATTCTATAGCTTTGTGCTTAACAACAAACAAACAAATAGTATATTTAAACAGTAATTATTAGATTGTAGCTATACACTTGTAACAGGTTCTTTGTGCTGTATACTGGATTGTGGCTATACACTTGTAACTGTTTCTTGTTGATATTACTTAATATTGATTATGTATTGGATTGTAGTTTTTCATTTATTACTGTTTAGTGGACTGTGTTTAACCTTTGTGTACTTAACTAGCATGTATATTTATTTCAATGAAAATTTGAGAAATGCTTTAATCTGTTTGTTACAGGGGACATGCAGCATATTTTAGTGGAGTTGAACTTTTGCATAATGACACAAAAATAGGAGGTGTGTATTTTTATTTAATGTTCTTGTAAATTATTTAATGTTGTTGTATATTCATCTTGTATTTGGGATCATTCAAATACCTGTTGTTGTTTTTTTTCTGGTATTTTAATTTCATTTTTGTTAATGTTTTTCCGGGTGTGCCATTTATCAGGTTCTACTACTATCTCTCTTTCTGAGTGATGTCTTATAACCTGTCTCAATTAGTTGCAAGACCTTAGACACATATTTTGTGGTTTTGTTGCTACATGGTTATTTTCAAATTATTTTAGTATTTTTACTGAAATATCATTGATGTAAATTTTTATGTCCATCCAATCAGTAGGATGTGTTCCCATAATCAGTAGGATGTCAATGTGTTCCTATAATGGAACGTGGTTACCAAAATGGCTGTGCACATAAACAAAAAAGACAGTTTCAAACAAAATACTTGAGGTTTACAGCTCAAACTTCATATAACAAAACTACTAACAACTGACCACCCATGTGCTCTATGTTCATGTGATTGGTTGAATTTACCCACACATCCAAATAAACCAGCCAATGGAGACCTTTGCATTTTCACAATGTAAGCAAGCATTAAACTGTTTGTTTTATTTTCACTAACTCTATCACAGGCTCACAATTAACTATGCCTTATTTTGTTTTGGATTATGCTGATTGACTGAAATGTTTGTATGTCATACTTCTTCCCAGCATATTTTTTTATAATTTAATTTAAATTGCTAGTTTTATTCAGAATACCAGATGTTACACTTGGAGAAAGCAAATGTTTTGTTTTGAGAAGTTGAAAACGAACAGGTTTACTCAACCTGGCAAACCAAATATAACATAACTTCTCTGTCAATTATCTTATTCTAGTAAAATAGGATGGTTTATTGTGCTTAATATCTGATTACACTGTAACAGTGAATAACATAATTTAGAATTATAGCATTAACCATTTGCTTATAAAAATGATCACATAGGATAATTCTAAACATGTGATGTACTTATAAGGACCTTCACTTAGGCTTGTCCTGAAGATGTGATAAATAGATGTTTTCCAGAGGTATGAGTGATGATGAATGTATACATTAATTTCTTAGACATTAAAGATGGCAGCTAACAAAATGTATTACAATTAGACAGATGTAGTCACTATCAAAATTCCAGTTATGGAAGAAAATTTCTAATATAATCTTCATGAAGGTTTGCTTTCCAGTTTTCTTTGTTGGCATTCTTACAGCCATCTGAATTTTGTGTGTTAGTGATTTAAAAAAATAAGAATGAGTTTCCTTTATTTTCCTGTGATGTTTCTTTAAATATAAGAATTTTATGAAATCTGCAGTTTTCATTGGTTTTTCCTTAAACTGTCCTCATTACATCCTCTCAGGAAGACCTTTAGAATTTGTTCTGTTTCATGATAACTGAGTAGGCATTGTCAGTTAATTCAGTTTTTATTTTAAACTAGCATTTGTTAGTGTCAGTTTGTTCTTCCTTCAATGGTTTTCTCAAAGAAACTACAGTAGATAAGATTTTATATATATACGCACACACACACACACACATATACATATTTTATTTTGTGGTTAAGTGGTGTCTTCTGACACCACAAAATACTGCCGATCTACTGGGGGATGCATTGGTAAGACGAAACATAATACATCCAGTACATATGTACCTATTTTTATTAAAATGAGATTTGAAGCTGTCACAGACTTATTTTTTGTTTTATGGACATTGAAGTGATTATTGTAGCTTAAGTACAAACATTACTAATATTTGTTATAATTATGTTCAAAATGTTAGAATTTAGTTAGACCTTGTTGTTTTCTAGCAACTTATTTCATGACCTACCACACTGTGCTTAAAACTTCTAAAGACTTCACTGAGGCTTACAAGTGGGCACATGATATTAGTACCAACATTACTCACATGCTCCGTATTAATGGGACAGATGAGGATGCCAGTGTTTTCCCGTACAGGTATTTATGCTATACTTCAATAAACACAGCAAAATACCATTAAAATAAGATACCAAAATAATTGATATTTCTTCCTTTCTGTTATATGCTCAGGTTTTTAATAACCAATTATGATTTGAATTTCTCATTGATGTATTAGTTTAATATAGAAATAGTCTGAATTTTCGTACTTAGATTTCAAAATGATGAAGAATTTTCATATAAATTTTCTAACTGATGTATTTGTGTAACAAGTTATTGTGGTTTGAATTTTTTTACTGATGTAGCAGGGTAATAAAAAATTGTGGGTTGAATATTATTAGTTTATAAAAAAATTGTGGCTTAAATTTTCTTACTGGCGTGTTAATTGAACAAAAAATTTGGTATGAGTTTTCTTGCTGATGTAGTTGGGTAGTAAAGAATTATGGTTTCACTTTTCTTACTAATGTAGTAGGGTAGTAAAGAATTATGGTTTCACTTTTCTTACTAATGTAGAAGGGTAGTAAAGAATTATGGTTTCACTTTTCTTACTAATGTAGTTGGGTAGTAAAGAATTAAGGTTTCAATTTTCTAACTAATGTATTTGTAGTAAAGAATTATGGTTTCACTTTTCTTACTAATGTAGTTGGGTAATAAAGAATTATGGTTTCAATTTTCTTTCTGATGTTTTAGATTTAAAAAGAAAATTGTTAAAATTAAGTATGAATATATTCATATATTAATGATGTCTGCAGCCTGTAAATATTGAGAAATGCTTAATACTTCAGACATCTACTTGTAGAAACATGACTGAACCATTATAGAGGGTGTCTTTATTGATCCATATTGAATATAAGCTTAAGTTGTATATCAAAAATATAATTATACAGTTGAAAAGGTATGATTCTCTTGTTTACAAGCATTTGTTTTGATGTAACTTGTGAATAGTGATACACAGCAGACATTGATAGTACTATACTAATTCCTTTGTATACATGTAATTTGTGATTGATTTTATAGTGACATACAGATGTTGGTAGTTTTTTTACTATTTCTTTTGTATACCTAACATTTAAGACTAGATTGATAGTGACACATAGAGCAAATTTTGATAGTTTTATACTATTTTCCTTGTATGCATATAAATAATGACTATGTTTAATGACATATGGCAGATATTGGTAGTGCTACAGTAATTTTTTGGTATACATGTAATTTAAAAAACTGTCATCTTTAAAGTTCTTCTGTGACATCATGCACCCATAACAACAGTTCAGATGTTTCAGGTCACATGATGTGCTCTTGGCCAATCACAATGAATAATTCATGCCAGTAATAGAATTAATAAGATTGTTTCACATTAAATACTTATAATATTATATGTTTTCAAAACATGCCATGATGTAATTTTGAATTCTGTTGTTTCTGTGTGTAGACTGCTAATCAACATTTAAAATTCCAGAAATGTAGTGTTAAGTTTTCTAATCTATCCTTCTTTTCTAGCATTTTCTACGTATTTTACGAGCAGTACCTAACAATGTGGCATGACACCATCTCAAATCTAGCCATTACAATCTCGGCAGTTTTTGTTGTCACACTGATTCTCTTATGCCTTGATGTTCATTCTTCTATCATCATTGTTCTCACAATAATCTTGATTATCATCAACTTGATGGGTCTCATGTATTGGTGGAATATCAGTCTCAATGGTGTATCTTTAGTCAACCTTGTAATGGTAAGTAATGGTAATCAAATTGAGAGTGTATTGGACATTATAATGTCAAGTACTTGTATCTAGCGAGTTTTCTAATAAGATCGTCTAGTAATAGTTTTAGTTGTTATATTTACAGTTGTTGATATTTATTTATTCAGCTAGTTTAACAGTGTTATTATTTATGTTAACTTACTTTTGATCAGAGGACTTTAATAATTAATATCTATTTAATTAAATTTCACCTTGCAATAAATCATGTTTTAACTTTAAACTACAATATAGCTTACAACAGTATATTACTTGTAAAGCTACAATATAG